AATTAACACGTTATAATGTAAAAAAATAACGATAATTAATGAAAATGTTTATTATTCAATAATTTAAATTGTACAATATGTGTTTGTTTTTTTAAAAAAGTAAATGATTAGATGGAGTAAGGAATATAAAATTACAATAAAACAATACTTTTTTTTAACAATTAAACAATAATGTTCTTATTGAAATCTTATCATAAAAATAATTCAAATATTGAATTTTATTTTCATTATAAAAATTGAACATAAAATTGAATAAGATAATATTATGTGTATTATCTACATAAAAGGTTATGGTTATTTTCAGTAAAGAATGAAAATTGCATCACAATTAACAACGTTTTTTTACTTATTAAGACATGCGACATTCTTGAACTGGCCCATATAACTATTTTAAAAACAAAAAACATAAAAATTGTCACAAGAAAAAAAGAAAAATAACTCATTATTTTAAATGAAATTTCTTTAAGCAATTGAATCTTTGTTTTGACCAATAAAACACATTATAAACTTGTAGAACCATCTATTTGAATTTTCTTTTTCATAAATCTATTTGGGAAAAATCAAGAAATAACAAAACAACAAACTTATTTTTTTAACCAAACAACATTACAATAGTAATAATGGGCTACTAATTAATTAGAAAAACAAGAAAAAATACGGAGATGTGTTTTTTTTTCAAAAACATTCTTCTTAAACACAATAAAATGACATATCATAACTTCAATCCATATGATTGTATTATAATGACACTGGAACGTTAAACCCACATCATAAGTGGTAGTATAATTAGAATAAAAAATTTATTTAAAACATAACCCACAACAAAAAATAACAACATGTGTCATTTAAAATGACACAACTTTTTATAAAAGTCTGATGTTTTTAATCATATTTTAATTATTTTGGCTATATAAACGGGATTATTCCTAAACTTATCATGTTAATAAATAAGAAACACAATTGGTAATTCCAAGACACATAACAAGACTTGAATATATAGCCCCGACTGATTATAACTTAAAGATTGGTTTTATACAAAGAATAAATAATGAAAATAACTTAATTATTAACACAAAACATGATAAAACATCATTTGTGCTGATCACTTGATCAACAAAAATATAATGAATAATCACAATGGTTGAGAGAAATTACAAAAAAAACAAATAAAATATCATTGCTCATTTATTATAAATATTAATAAATTTATTAAAATAAAATAATAAACATGATAAAAAATATCAATCAAAAAGCGAACAAGAGACTCAGAACATAACAAATAATAAAAAAAATTTCGTTTTCAACAACACTGAATATAAATGACTATTAATCAATAATTTCCTTAATAGCTTGAAACTGTGAATGACTTTTAATCAATGATTCCTTAAAAATGGTTACAAAAAGAATTTTTCAATATTTAAAAACTGAATAACTGAGAATATCAAAATGCGTGGAATTACTGGGTATCACATCATGATAGTCTGGAAGTACTTCGACAACATTACAGACTTAATTAACTTGGAGTTGGTATGCAAGAAGTTTGGTGGTAATATGGAGAAGTTTCACTTCAATCCATTTCCGTTGAATTCCAAAACACTTGAATACTTCCCAAACATCGAGATACTTCATTTGTGGAATAAAAAAGATGAGAATTTTGGCAATGGATTTATGACGAACACAGAAGAATATGAAGATAGTGAAAATGAAGTTGTTTTAAAAAGAGAATTTTATCGAATCATTGTGTGGTTCAATGTTAATTTTGAAACTGTTGACAGAAACAAAAGTCGAAACATCGAGTTTAAAAATGTTACTAACACTCAAAATGATAGAAAGAAATTTGGTAATAACATGCTATCGAGTGTGACATCAATTGGTGAATATTGTTTCAGTGGATGTAGTAGTTTAAGTAGTGTTACTATACCATTAAATATAATATCAATTGGTAATTATTGTTTTTATGAATGCAATAGTTTTAGTGATGTTAACATTCTATTGTATGTGATATTAATTGGTGATTATCTGTGGATGCAGTAGTTTGAGTGGTATTATAATACCATCAAGTGTGACTTCAATTGGTGGATGTTGTTTTTGTGAATGCAGTAGATTGAGCAGTGTTACAATACCACCAAGTGTCACATCAATTAATATTGGTTGTTTCAGTGGATGCAGTAGATTGAGCAGTGTTAACATACCATCGAGTGTTAGATCAATTGGTTGTAATTGTTTCAGTTATTGTTATAGTTTGAGTAGTGTTAAAATACCATCGAGTGTGAGATCAATAGGTGAATATTGTTTCGATAGATGTATAAATTTAAGCAGTGTTACAATACCATCAAGTGTTATATCACTTGGTTGTGGGTGTTTCGTAGATTGTAAAAGTCTGAGAAGTGTGACAATACCATCAAGTGTCACGTTGATTGATAAAAAATGTTTTTTAAAATGTAACAATTTGAGTAATATTGTTATACAATCAAGTGTTACATCAATTGGTGAATATTGTTTTTTAAAATGTGAAAAACTGAGTAGTGTAACAATACCTAAAAGTGTGATATCACTTGGCAAACATTGTTTCGATGGATGTTCGAGTTTGAGTAATATTGTAATTCCAAAAAGTGTAAAATTGATAGAAGACAAATGTTTTATGGGATGTAACAGTCTTGGTAGTGTGACTATATTATCAAGTGTTACTTTTGTTGGTGATAATTGTTTTCCAGCACACACTACTATTATTCAAAAGAGTAATTAAAATGAAACTGTTAATTTTTTGTGACATTATTACTAAGATTGTGTTTTTAATTATAATAACAAATTAACAATTATTAAAACACGTTTTGAAGCAATAACAATAATTAAATTTCACAACAGATGTTATCATTATATCGTTTTTTTTCAATTGAGTATCAACTATAAAAGCAACCCAGTTCTTATTTTAATATTATACTAAATAATTTGTTTTGTGTTTTTGGTTTTTATTTACCCATCAATTCAAGAGTCATAATTGTGTATAAACGTTAATTACTTGAACAGTAAAAATGTTTATATTATAATCATAAATAATAGTTTTTAACTTTGTTGTTGCGTTGTTTTAATTTTTAGTTTTTAAGAAAGATTTGTATTGTTACAACTTGAATAATGATACAAATATTATACATCTATTACAATACTATTTCGAGTCATATGCTTTAAATATGTTTTTCGTCGTTGATAAGTGCTTGTTTATTCTTGAATTTTTACAAAAAATAGAGTTTATATCAGCTTTGCAGTCTATTGTTATAGTTTAGTATTTAAACAAACAATGTACAAGACGTTTTTTATGTGTGTTGATATTGAAATATTTTCATATTATTTACTTTAAATAAAAACATCAAAAACGAAATTTGAAAAAATAACAAGTTCACTCTTCAAAATATCGATAATGTAGTTTAAATAATTAAGTGCCACATTATTGATGCTTAACACTTGTTTATCAGAAATTATCAATTTATTTTGTTAATTTGCGAAATAAACTTTAAGTTGATATGGTGGTATCAATAATGTTCTGTTTTATGAACTATGTTTAAAATAGACATTATGAATAAAATTTAACATTGTTATAAACTATTCAAACTATCCCGAACTATATCTTCCAATAACAATTATTACAGAATAACAATACAAAAAATTTATAAAAAATGATAATTTTGACAACATATAAATTATCAAAAATTTTTATTTTGTGAAAAAGAACAAAGAATACATCAAAATAAGTTAAAGCATCATTCAAAAAAGAAAGAATTAAAAAGAATTAGTTTATAAAATCAAAGAGAAAAATTAATTTTTTCGAGTAAAATTATTAAAAAACAAATTCTATTTTAGGAAGTGTACAAGTATTTTCTGGTGTTCAACAATTTTCTGGTCGGCTTTAAATTAACTAATTGTATAAAAATACAAAATAAAGTCTGTTTACTATTGCAATTATGTTAAAAACTTATCAATTTGTCTTAAACCCCTCAAGCTTCAAAGAAATTAATTACGACGTTATCCCGAACAAGTACGATAAAAAAATTGGACAAAAAAATGTTGTATAACAAAAACAAAAACAAAAACAAAAACAAAAACAAAAACAAAAACAAAAACAAAAACAAAAACAAAAACAAAATATAAAAATAAAAACCATAAAAAACTACATTTGTTTATAACTGTTCAATACATGATCATAACATATCGCGTCTCGTGTAAAACCACAAGAAGTGACATCGGAGAATATGGTTCAAAAGCGCGTTTGTGGGGTTGGCTTACAATCGTTATCCGAAAATGTTGTTTCTAAATATAAAACACTTTTTTCTGGTTTCGACCAATCAATTGACGACTTGAGGGGTTTTAGAAAACTATAGGGGTTTCGTACCGACTTGTAAACGATAATCTAAAAATATTACAAATAAAAAACTAAACCAAAAACATTAAAATGTAATTTACTATACTCAATATCACTAATTAAAAACCATCACAGTATGGGGAAATAGAGGGATGCCGACAAAAAATATAATGCTAATCTAAATAAAAATTGATTTTAGTTTTTTATTTTATTGGTTATTTTGTATTGAAAATAACCAATAGTTGCAGAGCATCCTTCTTTCTTTAGCATCCCTTTATTTTCTTTTACTATAACTATTAATAAATTGTCATTAATTAAAACTAATGTTAAACAAATCCTAAGCATTGGCCATTTTTCAAATCACTTGTTGTCGTCTTCAATTTGACCCAAATGATAGTTTGACATGTCTAATCTATAAAATATGACATTTTATTCATTTTAAATGATTTGTTTGACCTATTTATTTCGTCGTATTCACATTTTAAGATCTAGTTATCATTGGTTTTGGCTTTATAAGTTTTATAGTTGTTTAGTAATTTTGTTTTTTGATTTTTTTAACACACTTTTATAAAAAAACAAAAAATACAACCTATTTTTTTTAGAAAAACCACTTTATTTTTATTATAAATTATAATACTGTTATTATAAATTATAGTTAAAACCCAATATCGTCAAATAGAAAACAGACTTTATTATGTTTAAAAACCTTGGTATTATAAAATAAACATACATATTTTGTAATTGAGATTATAATGGGAACGTACTTTCCAGACCTCGCCCTGTTTACCAAAAAAATATTTGTTGCTGTGTTTTTTGAGACAAGTCCACCTTTCGGCCACTATCTATGTGCACCCAATGTCATTTATTTTCTTAGTCCGTACTATGTGAACGATGATGTCATACCCCCTAGCGGGGAGGTGGTCAGGAAATTCCACTCAATGGTATAAGTTGAAAAGTGGGTGAAACAATGCATAAAAAACAAGTTGAGTACCACTGACCGAGCATTGTTTTATTATTTAAATTACTCAATATCCACTGACTCAAGGTTATTTTTCAGAATTTTTAATTTGAAAACCAAATTTAAAATTATTCTAAACACCTTTTCGCAAAATTATAATTAAATTATTATTAAAATATAAACAAATTGAAATTTTAGACTTGGTTGGGGTGGGAAATAACAGCTTTAATTATTATTTACACATAACAACATAGTAAATTATATTTAAAAAACTACACACAAAACAATTTTGTTGTTTTTTAATATACAAACATATTAAGGGTCCTCATTGTTTGAATGAGTGTAATATTTATAAAAATATATATATTATTGTTTTAAATATTTAAACATTAGATTAAAAACAATAAAAATAATTGTTGTCTTGAGTCTGTTTTTAAACATTGTTTATTACAAAAGTTTATCGTATGTTTTTTTCTCGTTTAAATTTTCTTGAAATTATTATTTTTTAAAATGTGTTTTTATTTCAGATTTTGTTTAATAAAGAAATTACACGTATAACACATAATTGATTATTGCATTTTTAATGTGCAATAAATAATCAATGATTCAGTGTATTTTTTTAAATAATAATTACAATAATGACACCGTTTTCTGGATATAAATAATTATAAAAATAATTATATTCAAATGATATATTAAAATTACTAAATGAAAAATAAAATTCTAAAAAATATATTTTTTACAAAATTTAATTGTTTTAATATTTAAACTATTTATAACTAGTTATTAATTCATGTATAATTTAATTTACT